GCTCGCAGATTTTGATTGCGCTTGTACCGGTTCTTCCCCAGCAGCGCCTGCGGGAGGGTGGTTAATAGAGCCGCTGGGGTAGCTCAGCCCCCGGGCCGCCATCAGTGCAGCATCGGGGCTTGCCCTTGAGCACCCGGCAGGCAGCCAGGTTTAGCGGGCTGAGCCGGCGTTACCCATGGCGCTTGGCCGAGCACCCGCTTAGAAAGTGGTCACTGGAAGGAGTTGGGGTTCGGGTGTACCCACCAGGGGTCATTGGTTCCTGGGTGAGGAGCACCCTAACCACAGAGTCGGGAACGGGCTTGTTTTTTTGGGGCAGCCCTACGCGGTCCAGGTTTGGCTGCTCTGGAAGCTGAGCTAGTGATGATTATGTTATCCCTGGCTGAATTTAATCTTTCCTCTGTGGAAGCATGACTCTGAGGCTCAGCGTTAAAGACACAAAGGTAAAAGCAAAGTCTGTTACATGAACTAGCTCTGTCCCCTTCCTCTGCTTCAGAGCATGGCATGGCATCGAGCAAGGGTGAAAACACTCACCTGCCTGGGCAGCTGATTCCTTCGCTGGACTGACAGCAAACCTGCACGATGGTGAGAAACATCAGCACCCATCTCATCATAGTCAAATTTTGCCCCATTGCTGGGCTATGGAAGTAAGATTCATTCTGTGGTGTCAGATGATACCCTTCTGTGTCCCTGGGGCTACTGGGAGGAGGTATAAAAGCCCAGTGGCTTGATTAAGGTAATTAAGCCAATCAAGACTGTAGCTTTGTTGCAGCTGCCACCTGAGTGTGCAGCCCTTTGCTGCCATGGAGCACAAGTTGAAAGGCAGTACAGAATGGGGATTTTGCTGTTGTCGGTGCCCAGTAGAGCACCTGCTTGTCAGCGTGGTCAAAGATGAGCAAGAGTACAAGGGATGAGAAGTAGGAGGGATTAGATGACAGCCCATTACGGAGACACTTGACACAGCTCATCTCATAACTGTATCTGTCACAGAAACAGACCTAGTGAAAGAGTAATTGGTTTGTGTGCCTCCCTGGAGGTGCGCTGGGACAGTTTCAACCTTGCATCAGGTTTCTGGGGGTGGGGAGGTGCAGTTCGCTACACCAAAGGGTCATGCTAGGAAGGACATGCCCTGGAGAATCCTTCCCCAGATGGCATGTGTGTCTTATGTCTGCTTAAATGCATTTTTCAAGATGAATCCACAGACAACTTACACCCCAGATGAGTGGGTTATTCTTGTGTGGAAGGAGGGAGTTGCGTTAAGATGTTTCTGTATGATGGTGAGGAGGGTGTCTGCCTGAAACAGCTGCAAAGGGTCTAAAACCACTGAAGTCTCAGAGCTCGTGGTTTTGTTTGGTCGGTTGGTTTTTCCTAAGCAAGGATTTAAATAGCATCCACCTCCTAAAGTTTCTTGTCTCCAAGTGAGACAACTCACTGGCAAACACGCTCCTTTGTCTCTGTTCTTGTGTGCCAAGTTTGTGAGATAAAAATTGCTTCTCTCTGAACGGAAAACTTCCTCTCTTTAATTCTTGCTCTCTGCCCCAGTGCTGTTTTTGTCAGAAGGGGTGGAGGAGAAATGAGTGTACAGACTGTTTGAAGTATGGTTGCTAATGGTGTTAAATGCAACTTGTATTTAGGAGGAAATCGTTCTGCAGAATCCTGGGGTTGTACCAACTCCCAAAGACAGCTTTGGCAAGAGGGCAGCTGGTAAGTTGGGCTTCGAGCTGGTAAGAGAATGCTTCAGTATTGCATGCTGCTTGTTTTCAATTTATTAATTATGTGTCAGATCTGTAGGCAGTGCGACTCATCCGATGAGCAGAATACTTAGTCTTTGAACGCTTACCAGGAAAAATCCTAGTCATCTGGAAGAGCACTGGTAATCGGCATGACCGGTATCAGCATCTGGGTGTCTCTGCTGTATGTAGTTTTGTAGAACTCAAGGAGTTTATATAGCCAAGGGCAGGAAAGAAACGGAGCCCATGATGTGCTGTTATCCCTGTCTGACAACTCAGCTGTGAGGGAGAAACAACTTCACTGAGGCTAATATATTTCCCCTTCGTGGGTCTCCTGCCCCTTGCAAAGACTCGGCTGACAAGTGTGGTGGAACCCAGCAGGCAGCTGAGCCCCACACAGGCGCTCACTCGCTGCCCCCGCTCCCCGTGGGATGGGGGAGAGAATCGGGGAAAAAAAGGTAAAACCAGTGGGTTGAGATAAAAGACAGTGTAATAAAAAAGCAGAGGAAAAGAGTAGTAATAATAATAACAACCAGAGAATGTACAAAACAAGCGATGGCATAATGCAATTGCTCACTGTCTGCTGACCAATGCCCAGCCCATCCCCGAGCAGCGATCGCTGTTCCCCAGCCAATTCCCCCCAGTGTATATACTGGGCACGACGCCCTATGGTCTGGAATAGCCCTTGGGCCAGTTGGGGTCAGCTCTCCTGCCCATGCCCCCTCCCAGCTTCTTGTGCCCCTGACAGAGCAGGGGAAGCTGAAAAGTCCTTGACTGGTGTAAGCACTACTTAGCAACAGCTAAAACATCAGTGTGTTGTCAACGTTCTTCTCATACTAAACCCGAAACACAGTGCTACGCCAGCTACTGGGAAGAAAATTGAGTGTATCCCAGCCAAAGCCAGGACAAGTGGCACCAGTAAGGCAAAACCAGCGTCTGTCCCCTTTCCTCCTGCCTTTGTGATGTGCAACTGCAGCACGAGCACTGTCCCACACGCACAGCCAGCTCTCTGGAGCCCAGATAGAGCAGGGCTCAGTACAGGGACTGTAAGCACTGCTGCTGCTGTCAGAGCACACTTTAAATCTGTGAAAGGTGTTGTAAGTTCCCTATCCAGTGCGGTGCATTGAAGGGCAGATAAGAAACAGGTTTTTATCTCCTGAGATACACAGTCACTGAATACACACGCTGGAACAGTACTTTGTCTCCAGGTAGCCAACAACTGCATTGTGCTAAATCATTTCATGCTTTGTTTAACAGAATTTGTATTTGTTTGCAGAAGATCAATAACATTCACCGACAGGCTTGAACTGGCAAACTTGACGACAATGGACTTCCTTATGAAATTAAGGTTGGTACGCAAAAGGGGAGGGAATGGTACCACAAACCATCGGTCGGATTGCTTGCTCTGTCAGTTCAGCTGTGTTCCCAGTATGACCAGTCACTGGGAAGAGCACGTGGGGCTTCTGGCTTCCAAGGAGCAAGGGGAAAAAAAGCGAAGAGGCAGCCTGATGATAAATAGGAAAAGCAGAAGCTACTCAGTGCTTCGGGAGTAGAGAGGGGCAGGAATTGTTTCGAACAAACTTTTTTTAGGAAAGCAGTTACAATTGTGGTGTCTCCCAACTCTAGAAGCGACAGAAGGAAGATTGTCCTGGAGTGGGTCACGCAAGATACCAATACATCGTGTGAAATGGCCACCTGTGCGTAACTGCAGGCTCCTCCTCGCCACTCAGTGCTTGCTGCAACCGCGTCACGGGTAAGTTCCCACTAAAGCCAAAGAGGATTTGGGTACTTGTGCCACTGGTGTGGGGGGAGCAAGTTTTTGTCTCCTCAGACCTGTACTCTCAATTAAATAGTGCAAATCAGGAACTTTTCCACTGACAGTTGATGCTCTCTTTTTGTTTTTTCCCCACTAGGACCTGATCTACAGGTGGCTGGAGGAAAATGTGGTTCCTTACTGTCTTCTGTTCCAGAATAAAATAAGTTATGGAAAAGTTTACGTTGGTTTTTGGTTGGTTTTTTTTTTTTGGAAAGGTTATCTACTTGAACAGAAATGGTTCTGAGCAGGTAGGAAGGATTTGGGGTTAAAATGCTTGGCGGTTGTGAGCTTACCCTTCATAGCAAAACTTGCTCCTCCCTGATACCTAAAGACTTCGGTGTCTGCAGACACTGAAAGTTGAAGAAAAGCAATTCATGTGCCAAAACTACTTAGGGCGAAGCTGGGGCTGGTGACACAAATCTCGTGGTCTGCTTGGAAGCTCAAGGATAAGGGAGAAGAAGCGAGCGGCCATAGCACAGCCATCAGGTTCCTTGTCTGCTTAGCCCTTAAAATGGAGTGTGTTTAACTCCAGGGCTCGGCTACACCCTTGGCTAAAAACCCTTCCTTTTTGAAATGGGAAGGGAGGGTGTGCGCTGTAGTTCCTGATGCGCACAAAGAGCTGCCCGTGAGCTGGATGGGATTCCTGGCAGGATGCTGCCCTGTGACAACACTCATTTCTAAAACCTGTTCTTTTTGTCAGGGTGCTGCTAATTGCCATTGCCTGCATGGGCTGTGCTGAGGCTTGGCTGCAGCTGGTTCTAGGAAGTTTTAGTGCTCTCGGTCAGGTGATGTGAGGATCAGGCTCATTCTTGTCATGAAAGAGGCTTTGCTGAGTGCTTGCAAATAAAAACAAAAAAAAAAAAAACCAAAAACACCCAGGCCTAACAGGCTGCCTTGGTACCATTGTAAGGTGGCTCCGATGAGAACAAAGGTTAATTTGAGACCTGGGAACACAGGATAGGCTCCAAGCTGGAGATTACATCTGAAATGGCTTACAGACTAATCCTCGTAATGCTCATTTGAGCTGGCTGAAAGCAGCCTGCTGTGAGCTCGAGGGGGTTTTGAGGTTCCCTGGCTCCTGGCCGGGATATCTGCAGCCGGCCATCTCTGCAGTAACTGGTTCCTCCTGGGCTGACAGCAGACAGCATCCCAAGTGGAAAAGGGCTGCGCTCAGAGCTGCTCCCAGCAATCTGGCACCGTGCCGGGCACCAGGCCTCCTGGCCAGCCCGGGTCTCTGTGGTTTAACCCGGCTCCCATCCCTGCCTCTGGGGCCATTCCCCAATCAAAGGCTTGCTCTGCTACGCACTACAGCTGCTGCTGCAAGAGGTGAGGGGGGGTCTCACCCCCACCCTGCTCACCAAAACAACAGAAACGGGCGTAAAAGAAAACCATCATTCAACATTTATGTAATTACACAAAGTGGGAAAGTGTCTCAGATTACACACTGCTGCGCCGTATCAACCCTCCGGCACCACCAGCAGGAGCAGCCTTCCCAGCGGGTCTTCCTTAGCAGCGCTGGCTGGCATGGGATGGCCAAAGGTTCAAGACCTTCACCTCCCTCTGTGGTTTTTTTTGGCGAGGAAAACTTAGACTCACCCAACGAGCTAACAGGCTCCCTAACCCACCTGGTGTGGGGCTGCCTTCCCAGAGCACTTGGAGGGCACCATGTGGTCCCCGTGCAAGAAAACACCAGCACACCCACCACCACACACAGGCGGGCTGTAGGCAGCACTTGTCTCGGGATGCTCAAAGGCCAGCTGTGTTCTGGATGTCCCAGCTGAGCTGCAGTAACCCTACTCTTAGCTGATGGCTCTTAAGACCCTTCCTTGTTTGATAACACTGTGACCTAGAGAAGGGGCAAATGCCAGGGCACAGCATGCGTCTGTCACAGGAGAGGGCCACCAAGCCGATGGCTTTCCCACTGACCATGGAGGCAAACCAGTCTTTGCGGGAAGTGGCACACATCATCCCAGAGCTGGCTGGAGTTTGGGCTTCCTGTGGAGGGAGGTGTTCTCCAAACACACCACCTTCCTGTCAGCTGGATGATCTCATCTCCAGTTCAAGGATTCATCGTACCTGCTGTGGTCCCACCATGGTGATGAGCGTTTGAGCTGGGGTGCAACAGCAAGGTGGAGGGCATCCTCCACCCAGAGGCTGTCACACGTACACGTCCCCAGCATCCTCTTCAGCTTCACCCTGCCCCTCCTGTCCTTCCCAGCTGTGTTTGTGGGGCTGGGAGGTCACAGCCACACGCCGTGGTGCTTCTTGGTGCCCTGAAGGCCACATTCAATCACGCTGAACCATGAAACAAATTGCTGGAGATCCCTGAGGAAAGGCAGCATTTCCCTATAGGAGCACCAGCTTGCCCCTTACCACCACCACCACCGCCGGCTGCGGTGCGGAGGGTCTGCTCCTTGGGCTGGCGGCCGGGGAGAGCCCTCGGGAGGGAGATGGTGGCCTTTAGGAAAGAGAAGAGCCACAGGAGTCTTTGGACTTGCCACTGTGGACCACCGCCTGGCCTCACCGCTGGTAGAGGGTCATGATCCCTGCTCGGTGCAGGCTCCTCCACAGTGCTGCCTCCAGCATCATGTCATGGTTGGCATAAAACACCAGTGGTTTCTTCTCCGGCTCGTAGTAGTGATCTGAGAACTGCTCGTAGTTGGCGGTGATGAACCCGTAGGCACTGACCTGCGGGGAGGGAGGTGGGACAGACAGACAAAGGAGGGGGTTAGGGGGTGGGACAAGTAGGACAGCCACCAGGACACACTGGTCCCCACCAGGAGCCTTACAGCACCCGAAGGGAGGTCCCCTGGTCCCCAGGGGGAAGGTGGCCCCAGGGCTTCTTACCTGATCGCAGGTGTGGAGCGCGGTGAGGAGCATGAGAGCACCGGTGCTGGGCATGTAGAGCGAACCGTACTGCGTGTTCAGGAGCTCCGACCGCAGGAACCTGCCGGCGGACACAGCGGGTCGGGGAGGGCTCACCACCAGCACGGCACCGCAGCCCCCAGCGCCTGTCCAGCCCCCACCATGCACTCGGTGACGCCGGTGCCCGGGAGGGCAGGAGCACCAAGTGAAATGCAGCGCTCGTGTGGGTTCTCTGATGGCTGCTACTAAGGTTCAGCTCATTCACTGCAGATTGCTGGGAGGCAGCTCCCTGCTGTTTGAAATCACCCCAACCCAGGTGCCTGCTTTTATGAAAGGTAGGAAAAGACAATACCTTTGGGCCCTACCTCTGATCCTACTAGACAAGGTCAAAATTTAATTTATTTTGGGCAATGGGAGGCGAGGCGAGTGTGGTGAGGCTGTGGGAGTCTCCCTGCCAGGAGGGGACATGAGCTGTGCTGCGCTGAATGGGAACAGCGGGGGACAAATCTCTCTGCTTTATCTGCAGAGAGCAGGACAGAGGTGGTTCCAGTGCCTGGGGAGGGCTGGGGCCGGGCTTTGCTGCTGGGCAGCTACCAGTCTGTATGGGAGAGAGCAGCAGTGGGAGGCAGGCGGTCTGAGCCCAGCCTAGAGCAGAGCCAGGCAGCAGCCGCCATCCTCATCATCCTTACCTCGTCGTCAGGTACTGCAAGAAATCAGGGTGCAGCAGCTTGAACTTCTCTGCAGATGCCTCTGGTCCAAAATATTTCTGTGGCCTGCAGCAGGGTGAGGAGAAGGGCAGGATTTGCATCACGGGAGTCTTGGGGCTACTTGGGGTTTAGCCCACCAGGGACAGATGTGGGGTGAGGGCAGGCAAGTTGTGCTCCCTCAGGTGCGTCACTGAAGGTGCTGGGGGGGGATGTCTTGGGGGGCTACTCACTCGTCTCCCTTGTCCGAGCCCTCGGGGACTGGGCTGCCCTGGATGGCCGACTTCAGCATCACGTAGTCACGGATGTCTGAGGGGATGAAGATGTACCTCAGGTCCTGGAAGCGGGGACACAGATGTGGCACTTGGGGGGGCTTTGGGGCACTGCCCATGCCAGCAGGCTGAGGGCTCCCGAGATGGGGAGAAGGTTTGGGGGGCAAGCCCAGCCTCAGGGGATGATTTGGGGTCACCTCCCCAACAAGCCCTTGGGTTCTCACCTTGGCCTGGGGTATCTGGCTGAAGCCATAGTCCTCGTAGGCGATGAGGGAGTTCTTCATGGTGTTCACCGTGAAGCCGTAGAAGGAGATCTTGGTCCCGACATCCTCCTCAAAGCCTTTGATCACGGCACCATTGAGCCTGCAGGAGAAGGGCAGGATGTGTGTCCAGGGCCAGCCACTCCCCAGCACCCATGGCCCCATCCTGCCCGGGACCCGTCCCCACCTGAAGACCAGGTCATGAGCGTCGATCACCTTGCCCTGCTGCGAGCCATTGAGGATGCCGCCGTTGCCCACCACGGCACAGCGGACGCAGCCCCCGGGGAAGGTGTCCCTGCTGAAGAGGTGCCTGTTGGCGGAGGCATTGAGGAGCCGGAGGGTGCTGCCCACCGCTGGAACAGAGCAGGATGCGGCAGGTCAGTGGGGAGAAGGTGGGTGTCAGCCCCCGTGAGCACTTAAGCGTGCAACAGCACGCACAGGCGAGACTGGGCACGATCACATCCAGGAGCAGCACACAAGAAAGCTCATGCAGGAGGGGTCTACAAGCAGGATGGGAGGACACCACCCAGCCCCTCCTCTCCCAGGTTTGGCACTGTCCCCCTCGCAGCCCCCCACATACCTAACAGAGGCTGCCCCAGGCCGTGCAAGGCACAGGGACGCATCCAGACCTCTCTAGCCCTAGCCCTGCGGATGCTGCTGCCCACACTGGCCATGTCCCCTCCTGACAATGTCCCCTTGCAACTGCCACCGGTTCACTCCCCCCCCCGCTGTCCCCAGCACTTCCCAGCCCAGGGATTGAAGCTGGCGGCTGCTGGGGAGAGCAGAGAGTGGGTTTGGGGTAGGAAGGGAAACAATCTCCATCCACAACAATGGAGTCGGTTGTCCGAGCTCCTCCGGCCCCAGTTAATAATCATGCACACACTGGAGCTTTTATTCGGGGAAAATGTCACAAGATGCAGCAAGCAGCGTTTGCAAAGCCATCCCCTCCGCCCCGTGCCCTGGGAGACAGAGTTGGAAGAGATTAAGGCCCCTAGCTCCTCTGCCTACCCCACATCTTCAGTCCCTTCTGCTGGGCTCCCTGGGCCCCTTGAACTGCCCCACACCCTCCCATCGCCCCACTTGCCCAATCTGCTGCCACCCCCATCCCAGATGGGTCCATACCTGTGTGGGACAAGCCTTGCCAGCCATAGGGGACGTGTCGTGTCTTCAGCCTGTCCCAGGTCTCTGGGGTGAAGTGCTGGTCCCACATCAGCACAGGGGTGTCAAAGCGGAAGATGTCCCTAAATTTGGGGTCTGCCTTTGCTCTGGCCATCACTGAGCGGAGGCACGTGCTCAACTGGGAGGGAGGAGGACCTCGGGTCAGTCTCCAGCCTGGGTCTACCTTCCCTCCAACATCTCCACCCCTCAACAGGCACCGAGGAGAGAACAAACCCAGGGATGTGCTCCTTGTCCACCACATGTTCTGCTGGGTCACCCAGGCAGGGCACTGCCTCATGCCCTGCTGCAGAACACACCGTGGTAGCCAGCTCACTGGGGTGGGGGGACTAGGGCTACAGAGTCACCTGAGAGCACGAGCCCTGTGAAAGATTCAGCACCTTCTAGCGTGGGCACCCCACTAAAGGCCTTTGCTGTATGAGAACAGCCCCAGCGCCCAGGACTGGTCCCTCGCAGAGCCTGGGTCCATCCTCACGAGTCTCCAGCCTGGGCTGGTGTCCCAGGGTTGGAGGGAGCGGGGGATGCTGGCTCCAACCTCCACATTAGGGAATTGCTCGGGGAGGTGCTGCAGCCACAGAAGGGAGGCCTGGGGAGACCCATGTGCATAGAGGGAGGAGGCTGTTCTTCCGCACACAGAACCCCTTCCAGATGCTGCTGCCCCTCCTCAGCGTCGCCACGTAGACCTTCAAGCAACAACACCCAGCAAGGAGGGGCACGGGGGACACTGATCGTTCTGTGCTAATGATCACCTGCTTTCTGCTGGGCTTGGGCTCCTCCAGCTTGGCAGAAGGCTTGAAGGACTTCCCGCTGGAAAGGGGGAAACATACAGCGGAGGTAAAAATCCATCACTTGGGCACTGTGGAACCCCACAGTGGGCGGGGGGCTCCCAGCTCGTGCCAGGACCGCTGCACACACCTTCCCCCCTTACCTCTCTAAGCCACCTTCAAGGGCCCATCTGCGGCTGCCGGCTCCGCCGGGAGTCCCCCGGTGGGGCCAGGCCAGC